CGGCCACGATTAGCTAAAACACGGTCCTGAGTCCTGACTTCAGCCAAACCTCAAATGCGAGAAAAAGAGTGCAGACTCCCAGAGTTGCAGAGACACGCAAAGAGCTGAGAAATGCGTTAAACTGGCCTTGGAGAAATGCGTCAAACTGGCCTTGGAGAAATGCGTTAAACTGGCCTTGGAAAAATGCGTAAAGCTGGCCTTAGGCTTAGCGAAATGCGCTCAGCTGGCTACTGGCAAAAGATAAGTGCAATATATCCATCCTACTTTCGTGTTTTTAACCTACCTACTGGAAACTTCTACTTTAGTACTTCAGACATAGAAACTAGACATTAATTTCAACATATAAATAATTATCTCCGTACAACACCATTCTTCTTCATATATGGACATTCCGAAGTATTCAACAAAAAATGTCCTGTCAGAATCAAGAATTGATATTTCTAGATTTTAGACGTAAATCACGTAATTTTCTGCGGTGCTAAATTTCTCTTGTACAAAATCTATATTATCTAATCAAACGGTTTTAATATCTAAACAACAGAGATTGAATATCAAATTAAGATACTCTTTTTTATGAAGTACTTAGACTTAGACCGAATCAATCAAGTTCGCCGCCCGAATCACTTCATCCTAAAATAGAACGTATGCAGAGAGCATGCACCACACCACACACTTGCTAGATCAACACTGCTTTGCGAGTGGCCAACCGCGGTGAGTGAACCGCCAACCGCCAGAACTTATTCGTTAAGAAGTTGTCCAGTGCCTAGTACATTAAAATCATTGTATAACATTCCGCTAAAACAAATCGAATGAATGTTTTAGTTGAAAAATTACGACTTGAGCTTTAATTGGAAGAGGTGGTTTTACTACTTAAACAAACAGAATAGTTGAGCACCAAAACAGAGGAAGGCTTCAATGCGTTACACTTCGGCGTCTGCAGCCGTGGCAGTGTATTAAATGGCTGCAATCTCAAAAGAAAAAAAATCGAAGATTTAATACATTCCTGAAAATGTGTTTCGCCTTCAGACGTTAGCTCTATTCGCATCACTACAACTTACACGTTGATCGCTTACCCTGTCAATTCTTCGAATGATATATGTAAATAAAACAATAGTTCCTTTAAAGAGAATACGTCGTTACTCACAGCAATCAATCACAGCGCAATCTTAAAAAAAAACGGTGCATCGCGGACTAAAATGCACTACAGCTTTTGAACAAAGTTTCAATATTCCAATTATTTGAATTAGGTAGTGTTCACTTTTACAATTCTCGAACTTTAAACTTATGTTTACTTCCCAATTCTTTAAACTCCTGTACTCATTCGCAATTGTAAAACTTACGTTCACTCTTTCAATTCTTCCATCTAACATCCACCATTCCAAATTCTTTGAACTTGCGTTGACTCATCCAATTCCTTGATCTTACACTAACTATCCCAAAGAGTTTGCCAAAGGGAATGCGCCAGCAGCTCCGGCGCACGACGTCTTGCATTTAAGTTGCTGTTCGTCCGGCATTTGGGGTCGATTCCACGGGGCTACTTGATGGCAGCAACAAATTAAATGAGGCTTCCGTCGCTGTGTTTGCTCACGGAAGTTTGTGCTAGCGTCCAAGTTAGTGAATCGAACGTGCGTGCATTAAAGTCGCCTACTAGAGAGCGACAAACGTGAAGTCTGTTCAGTGACCTAAACAAGGGAGACAAAGATAATCTAAGCTTCAACAAGTAACTTTTACGTCACACTCACGCACAAGAGAGGTTAGTTTAATCTACACGAAATTAACCCACACCACTTACGTGAAAACACGACATTCCTTGTATTGGAGGACATATATTCGTCAATAATTGCCTAGCACGGATGCTCGTTCTAGCATAATATCCTTTAATATCCAACGAGAACCCCGATGTGTATCGACTTCACTGTCAGGCAGCACCATTAAACGCCACCTGACAGTTTGTATAGTTCTACCTGAACGTGAGGACATAGATTCCTTGACTAAGTATGGAGGGATAAGTAAGACTCCATCTGTCTAGACAACGTATCTTGATACTAGATGGTAATACATGAGAGTTAATGAGTTATATTGGAGGAATAAGGCTAAGACTTCGACCGTTAGTTCGTAGCTCTAACGCGAGTTACAAAGGGACGTGCTAGTTAGCTACAGAGAGCTTTACTAAGGTTACCAGTCCTTTTATAGAAATATGACTTCCGTCCACAACTGTGGTCTTGATCGCGTGATCTGCCACGTGATGTTGTCCATGCTGACTCAGGTCTAGTACTTTTCCATCAATCTCTATCACGTTTGGTGAATATTACTTTTCAAATACAGATGATCTATATTTTAAAATAATAATAATAATGAATAGAATGACGCCGGACATCACCAAGCAGCACGAGTGTTGGTCATCAAAAGCCATCATCTCTCTCTCGCCTTCGTTAACAACTTTATCTCTGACTGCCAAGCCCCACTCTCCAACAACGCCTTCTACGCCAAAGATCTCACCATATTTGTCTCCTCCCCAAGACTAGACATCGCCGAGGCGAACCTGGCGGCGCTGCTGTCTGGCGTTTCTGCCTGGTCCGCATCCATAAGGCTGGCCATAGCCCCAGACAAGTCCTCTATCACTGTCTCCACACCCGACACTCATCACTCCAGAGTCCACCCTGCCGCCTACTTTGGCAACAGTCGTTTCCCACTGAACAAGACTCCAAAATTCCTGGAAGCCACTTCATTTTCTCTCCTACGTCAAGAAAATTGCCTCCAAAGCAACTACAACTCTACTGCGGGGTTTCCACAAAGAAATCATCACGGTCACCTATAATAAACCTACTACCCGACCAACCTTTAACAATGCCGCCCGATTTTGTACCCCATTTCCTCCCGCTCCACAGTCGAGGCCCTGCAGAACTCTGCCTTGAGGCTCGCCACCGACTGCCTAAAGGTGACCGCCATTGACTACCTCCACAATGAAACAGGGGTTCTTCCTTTAGTCGCTCCCTTAGATCTCGTTGCTCGCAGTTCCTGGCAAGCACACTCCTAGCCCAACCTCTTCCCCAATTGTCTCCGCCTCACCAGGAGAGACTCCTGATGGCAACCCGACAGTCCCGTTACAGTCACCTCGTGGCCCACGTTAGGCAGACGGCTGCCTAACAGTATGCGCCTGTGATGAAGCCAGGCGAACTCGTCGCCGGACAATCACGTCTCACCTCGCTGCAACAACCGAGGATAACAGGGTCCTGGCCGCCAACCTCCTCCGGGAAAACCTTTCGTCCTCGCCCCTACCGCTCCGCGCTGGCTCAGTTGCAGTCTGGCTTTTGCAACCCCTTCGCATTCTACACGTTTAAGGTGGGACGTTCCCCAAGCGTGACTTGTCCTCGGTGCGGGGACCCCCTCCACTTCTCGGAGTACCTCTCCTCCTGCGCATCCCATACCACGGACCTTCCCGTATCCTCCCTATGGGACAGCACACTCCAGGTTGAATCCTTCCTGGCGTTCCTCCCGTCATTTGCCCATTTTCCTCCCCTCGCGGTCGCCTCTCGGCGCCCGCCTCTTCCACGTGCCCGAGTCTTTCGATCCAACAAACATTACAGCAACAGTGTTGGCCCGACTGGAAGAATAGCACGAGGTGTTGGCTCACCTTAGAAAACAATATCCAATAATACATTCCGAAAGGATAAGGCAAAAAACGTTCATAATTAAGAATGTTTCCATGTTTAAAAATAGGGCATATTTATAGGATAACAAAAATAGGGGATATTATTAAACTTGCAATAAAAATATATTACATATTCGACGCTCGACCGAATGAAATGTTTTACATCAGCTTACTCCCAATCTATTCTGTCCAATTACTTGATGAGGACCGAAGATAAATAATAGTAGATAATAGTTGATACTCTTCGTAACTTGGAGACTTGAATCATGCTTTCACTCGATAAGCTTCTGGAACCATACCTACTATCAGAAGTAATTGCTAGTTCGAAATTCCGTTTGAAAATCACTGGTAGCTATTCAAGCTAAACCCACAGGCGACAAATCTGTCGCTACGTGTACCTACTTGCCTACGACGGTGAAGTTTTAAAGAATGATAAACTGAAATATGTCTACAGTGGTGAACTGGTGTATTAAGGTACTTTAAGCATTAAGGTATAAATAAAACTAAAATAACTAACCTGAAATAAACATGTAATAGAAAAGTCAAGTATGATGCAATGGTAAACTAAAGTATGATACGATGGTGAGCTAAAGTATGATACAATGGTGAACTAAAGTATGATACGATGGTGAGCTAAAGTATGATACAATGGTGAGCTGAAGTATGATACAATGGTGAGTAGTAGTAGTAGTATGATGGTTTGCTGGCGCTTCAGTTATCAAGCTATTTCGCACCGGAGGTCAAAATATAACATCGCCAGCAAGGGGGAAGGTCTCAATTATTCAAAATCTCAAGTTAATCATCACCCACAAGGGGCGGAAGGTCTCAATGGTCCAGCCCGCTGAAGCTGGTTCGAAGGAAGCAGCGTTAGCATCTCAAAGAGACGAAGTGACAAGGAGGGACAGGTGAAAAGCAACAGAAACTAAGACACTCGAACAAGAGATCGCTTACACGGGACATCGGCCGCCCGCACGAGAGAGACAGAGAAGGAAAATGTAAAGAATCCTACCTACATAATAATTTGACCCCACAACTGAGACCAGCAGTCAGACACCGCGTGCTCAGCGGTAGGGCGCTCAGGAACAATCCCCCTAGGAGCGCGAAATCCCATAGAACTTCTGACGAGCACAGACACGCGTCAGAAGTCCCCCCTGAGGGTGAGCTAAAGTATGATACGATGGTGAGCTAAAGCATGATACAATGGTGAGCTAAAGTATGATACGATGGTGAGCTAAAGTATGGTGCGCTAAAGTATGGTGAGCTAAAGTATGATACAATAGTGAGCTAATGTATGATACGATGGTGGACTAAAGTATGATACGATGGTGGAATAAAGTATGATACGATGGTGAGCTAAAGTATGATACAATGGTGAGCTAAAGTATGATACGATGGTGAGCTAAAGTATGGTGAGCTAAAGTATGATACAATGGTGAGCTAATGTATGATACGATGGTGGACTAAAGTATGATACAATGGTGAACTACGGTCTACAATGCTGATGGTACGGCAGGAGTGTCCGGAACTCGCGCCAGGTGGGCGGGCTGTTGTTGCTGACGGTGCAGTTGCATTTGGTGCAAGGCTCCGTGAACAAGTTGCTGAAGCTGTGCAGCCACGTGAAGAACGAGCGGATGCTCAGGTCTGCCAGGTAAGGCGAGCAGAAGTGAAGCATCGCCGCGCTGGCATTGTCTGTTACGCGCTGGAACACCGCCAATTGTGACGGCTTGAAAATGTCCTCCTGAAACACATCGGCACATCATTAACACTTATTCTTCAGTTGCATTATTCCATCAGCAAGACAAATTGGCCTGTTGGCTTTTGTGAGTTTAAAAATATCATAATAAAAAACAGCAACAATTCCCTGACACGTTCCTCACCCCTCAGCTTTAAAGCTTGAAATGCAGGAGCCTGTGAACCGATTGTCACCACAAACTGAGAAACAATTGTTACAAGTTATACAACACAGTACTAAGGAAGTTCCAGGGCACAACAATGCTGAAGAGCTTTTATCGGCCCCTTAACTTAGTAAATGTTATTAACTTGGCACGAGTATATAATAGTAATCAATCATGAATAGAAGTTTCACGTTCTTGAGAAGTTTTTCACCAGCAGCGGCACCGTACGCATACCAACACTACCATGATGGTGAAAATTTCTCCACCAGCAGTGGCAGTCGTCATACCCACAATACCCACCCTGCCCTGATGGTCTAGGAAGGACTCATTATATCCCCTGATGAGAACAGCTTCGATGAGCAGCCCTCGCAAGGTTATCACTCCGCGCAGCAGCTGCCCCAGTGTCACCTGCAAGAATTAACTATTATCTTCCTATTCATTACCTTATTGTTATCAATGAAATTAAGGATAACGAGATTTTAAAGTTTCTAAGATTTCTGATCCCGGGCAAAGCCGGGCTAATTTGCTAGTGATCTCATCGTGACGCTTCAGAGCTCTTGCTATGTTCGGGATCAGTCGGTGCACGAAACTTATGATATAAAAATTAGTCTTGCACGGCTACGTCCACACAATTATTACGAGGAAAATCTTTGTCCACAGCCACACTGGATCGCCGTCTTTCGAATCAAACTTCCATTCAGTGATGAGTAAAATTTGAGCCTCCTGAGTGAAAGCTTTGCGTACAAGGACTGCTGTGTAATGCGCACACACTTGGGAACGCACCCACCACCGAGTGTTCCAAGATAATATTACAAGCGGCGAATATTCAGTGGCAACCTCACTTATCCCAGCACATCTCAAGAATAGTTTGATAGAATACCAGAGATTGTTTATTTATTATCTTCTTATTAGCTATCACAATAAGTTTCTTATTAGCTATCACAATAAGTTTCTTATTAGCTATCACAATAAGTTCAACTAAATTTTTGCAGGCGTTGGTAGGTGGAAAAACCAGGTTTCCGAATGACATTTTTAATATGTTAACAAGGTTGCGAATGTATCAACATTCATTATCAAGTTTAAGGGAGCATTGAGTAGTGAAATTTAGATCGACACAAGTATAAAATCGCGCAAACACGTCAAAGCTTGAGAGTTGGAGCCCAAAAACTTATCTGAATGAACAAATTTCGCCACCTTACATTAATATCTCAAGATAAATATAAGAACGAAGCATCAAACTCAACCAATTGACCTAATCAATTAATATCTAAGTTTTCCCGGCACAGCACCGGCCGACACCCAACCACGGCTTGCCAAAACTCTACACAAGCTTAGTTACTAGTTTAGTGGCAACATAGTTAACTAGCAACTCTACAAGAGGTGTGAAATACTATACACAAGCTTGTTAGTTAGTTTAGTCATAGTGGCGAAATAGTTTACTAGCAACTCTACAAGCGGCGTGAAATACGTACTATACACAAGCTTGTTAGCTAGTTTAGTGGTAGCTAAAGTTTAGTTAGCTAGTTTATTAGCAACTCTACTAAAGGTGTAATATATAAGTCAAGGGCGATATTGCAAGATTGACACACAGAAAGGTTATTTGATGTCATGGGTTAAACATTTTGGTTTACCATGATTAAACTACAATATAAACTTTAATTTTAACGATAAATTTCCTAGATAAATTCTTTAGACTGCGAAAATGAATGCTCTCAACATCAACCATAAAAGAAGTTGTGGCAGCAAACCTGGACGATAGCGTTGGATCCCATGGGCCTGGAGACGGTGAGCATCATGTCTTGGAACTGCTTGTTGATGCTCAGGATGAGCGCATCAACCTGCCTGCAACATTCACACCACATTGAACGACACCATCTAGTCGCCCTGCCTGCAACATTCAGACCACATTGAACGACACCATCTAGTCGCCCCGCCTGTAGCATTCAGACCACATTAAACGACACCATCTAGTCGCCCCGCCTGTAGCATTCAGACCACATTAAACGACATGATTGGTCTACAACACTGAAGGATCTTTGAATTGGTCATGATGTTGGTTAGCGATATAGATTCATCTTCAAGCATGATCAACATTTGAAGCTGAGGAGTTACGATTAAGTGTGGATGATCAAATTCCATTAAGATAAGTTCATGTAAACATTTTAAGGCAAGAGTTCTAAATCAGTACAAATAGTGTAATTAATATTTCAAACATTAATAGATATATAATAGTTGAAAAAGTTAATATCAATAGTTCAAGATTTGCGCCACTAACTTATACGTTAAATTTATTTTTCATTTTGATTTTTTTACTACTAACATCATCACTGCAGAAAACATGGAATAATTAAACAAAATATTAATTATTAAATCAAGTAGCACCATTAATTTATGGCCAGTGATGCCACGTTTGCTACAAGTGGCAATAGAGGCACGCACTGTTGGGGTACGTTGACGTTGTTGGATATGGCGGGAGGGCGCCGCCGCTTGCTCACGCTCAGCGGGTTGGGCATTTGTGACCTGTTCAGGTGGCTGTGACCTATCAGCATGTGGCTCATTGTCGAGTAGTTGTACACCTGCGAATATGAACAAATTAGTACCTGTACACCTGCAAATATGAACAAATTAGTAGTTGTACACCTGCAAATATGAACAAATTAGTACCTGTACACCTGCAAATATGAACAAATTAGTAGTTGTGCACCTGCAAATATGAACAAATTACTGTTATCACACCAACCAAGGTAACACAAGCACTGTATTTAAAAACGTTCAGTATTTCAAACATTGATCTCTGCAATTAACACAGTCAAATGTCAAGTTTATTGATACAAGGGAGCTTGTGCTGCTATTTAGAAATAATAATTTGCCTGTCCATGCATGTGCACAGGTGGAAGAACAAAAACCAACAACAGTAATGTTTTTGTTTGTGCTTCAATGCAGAAATAAAATTTCTACATGAAATTATCTGCAAAAATTATACTTCTTTGTTATGGATACTCTCTTTTAATTTTTTTTTTCAGAGGTGGACAGCCACATTAATTTCCATTTTATTTAGATACAAGGACTTGAAATTCAAACTTGATTGAAAATTCATGAATACCCTAAATAAAGCAGAAGAAAGTGTTAGCAACTCCAGTACAGATAGAATTGCATGTCTCAGTTTACTAGTTGAAGTTCACTGCTAAGTCAATTTTAGAGGATGTGATCAATATTTTATTGTTTAAACATTTGTTAAAGTAACTGTACTTGCAAAACGAAACACATAATTTCAGTAATACTAAAAAAATAGCTAGAAAATGGTAATAAAATGAGTATGTACAAATAATATTCATTCATAGTGTCATCAATTAAAATAATGGCAAGCCAGACTCGACAGAATAAAAATGTTTTGAAAAAATTATTTAAAATTTGAAATGAATTGTAAGTATAAATATTGAAGACCCTGTACTTCTAAACTGTCTACACACAATTTTAATCAGACAACACTTCTCCACAGTAATCACTCCACTAAATTAAACTACATTCATCAAGCAGCTTGAAAAATATGAACATACAGAAAAACATTTATGCTTTTTTGAAACATTGAGTAGAAAACAGACCAATAAAGCAAGAAGAAAATTAGTATTAGTATAAACAAATTTGATGATTTACTTTATCATGAACAAATCAAGAACCTTGTCCATCCAGATGTAGCACTGACGAAGCTGGTGATGGAGCTGCTGCTTGTCAGTGGCAGGGTCTAGGGAAAGGAGGTCCAGGTTGCTCTGCGTGCTGTTCCCAACAATTGGGGACAGTGATGACACTTCACACTGAAGGGTTCTGTTGTAAATATCTGCATTAGCTGTTAGTATGATCAACTCACGAGTCATTCAATAAAATGTACATATAATTGAACTTGGCAGGATTGATTATGTATACTACAGAATTATTTGTTCAAATTTTTAATTTTCTTAACTAGAACAGAGATCAAATTCATAAAACTAGTTTTATGAAAATCAATAAAAAATCCCTGACTAAATTAAAAAATGAAATTGGAAGCCAAATCAAATTCTTTTCACACCCCAAACCTCATCTCTGATAGCAGAAAAACTATCATGGGCACTTACTTGACATTTTTCATGAGGTCATCAAGGACTGTTTTGATTTTGGTCTCAGTGTCTGCTTGCTCTTCTTTTTTGGTTGACACATCAAAAAGCATTAAGTTTTCACTGCCTTCTCCTTGCTAAATAGATGATGCAAAGGGATTAAGAGTATTCAAAAGTGCTATTTGATCTCAGTCTCTTCTCAAATTTATGAGTTCTATCAACCATTAATATTGATCACACTATGCAGATGAAATATTAATCAAAATCGTTCATAAAATAGTAACTTGAATTGATCAAATAAAAGCTGTGATGCAAGTTTATCTAAAGCAGTGAATTCAAAAGTTTATATGGTAACTTTCAGAAAACGTTCAAATACATGAGGTATATATATCCTGATTATGAAGAAATTTCTCCAGAAAATGCATAGATGTAACATACAACTTCTAGATAAAGAAGCAATGGCACTAAGATGGAATAATTTAGCTAAATATTGAAGTAAGAAGTTTTATATTGCACATTCATTTTGTAAAATACCTGAGCAAGTAAAGCGAAGAATTGAGTTGCAGAACCTCGCACAGCTCTCAAATAACTGAGGCAAGCAGCCAGTTTCTCGGGTGTGGGGGCTGCACCTGCCATGGCTCCACCGCTGGTGTTGGGGTCAGGTCGATTGCTGGTCGGCATGCTGCTACAGCTCCCAGTAGTGGAGGCATCCGTGGTAGCCATGATTCTGTCAGATAATCACATCCTCATAGTGGTACAAAAAATATTTTTGTTGACCTCCCCTTTGATTGGAATGTTCAATATCCATAGGATATTGAACTAAATTTTTCAATTTGATATGCAATTAGAAATGTTTCTCTCAAAAAGCCCTCAGTTGCCATTATGCAGAGAATTGCATTACATACTCAAGACTAGCATAAAAATTTATTTGTAAATAATTCTTTTGCATACAAAAATATAATCTCACAGTTTAGGACAGTCTGACAGCTGGAGAATTTATAGAATAATAGCAAGTAGAGGATTTTCTTGCTTAACATGTGGACCAGTTCTAGTGGCTTAATGAGATTTCAGGCTAATTTGTATCTTTATTTTGAACTTTGATGATGACTGTGACACAAGGTAAAAATAGAAGGTACAGAGCTAGGGTGTTTATATATACCTATGCAAGCATGGAATATACCTACCATATAAATTTAATTGGTATGCAAATAAAAGTGAAAAAGGTAAAAAAATTTTTCCTTTGTCCAATTATATCCCAAAAACGGACCAATTTTTGGCACGTTTTTGGAAAAACTATAATTTTTAGGTTTTGTATGAGCCAATTCAAAGATTTTATCACCATTAAAAACCTCTTGTTGTAGGCTATCTATTCTAACTGAAATAAAACACTTTGGTTGACTGCAATTGGAAGAGAGAAAAGGGTGTGACCAATAGATATGAATGGTATAAATTAACCAAAAGGTAGAATTGAATAGAATAAATTCCAGTTTTGGCACCATAAGTGAGCTTAAAAAATCTGAGATTTACATCTCCAATTCAAGAAAGACTTGAAGATAAATGAATGGGAGGAGGGGTTACAATATAAAATTAGCTAATATAAAAATAAATAAAAATCTCAGCACAATAAAACTTCAACATGAACAATAACTTTAACTATGGCTGAATGAGTGACAATGCCTACTTAATTTTATGGTGAAGACATCATAATTAAATTCCTGATTCCACCCTGTCTCTCCTGAATATGTTAATTCTATTCAAGATATTAATAGTATAGGTACTATTAATAATGTTATTATTAATTATTATTGATAATAACTTTATTTATTAACTAATATTAATAAATATTAGTTACTATTTAATATTATTAATATTAACTAACATGTTAATATTTACTACGTACATCAGTTATTAAAATTACAGCCAGCTCAGAAGTAAAATTAGTACCAAGTAGAAGTACCGTCAACCGGGGCTACTCGGGACAAGCAGGGCTACTCGGGACAGGCCTCCAACACGGCGTAAAACTGTTGTAGTAGCGAAACTAATTGGAATATTGCAAAACTAAAAATAGTGGCGTAAACGTCAACATTTTTCCTATCTATGTAGTATAAAGAAAGTCGAAAAATACTACATTTACTTGCTTTGAAAAATTCCTAAAAAAATGGTGAAAAACTATATTTTGTAAAGTTACAACTGCTCAGGTATGTAGCAAAAAAAAAGATTCGCCGTATTAAAAAATTTTACTTACGTTAAAGTTGCACCCAGGTGTCGGCTTGAAAACGTAATTGACAGAATTTGCCTATCTCATTTCAAAAAGAAATGGCAGCCATTTCTGCACGGTGGGGCTACTCGGGACACCCCCCTGGGGCTATTCGGGGCACCCCCAAAAATGCATTTACGGTAGAACCTCAGTTAGCAAAGGCTCCAATTACGAAAAAAATTGATTAAAAACAAAGAATATTGATCACATCTTCCTTGCTCAGCAAAAAAATTTCACTTATCGAAAAATTAGTGCATCATCGTTCATCACAAAATTGTGCATAGCATGTCATGTATAGAATTGTGCTCTAGGCATCATAGAATGAAAAGTAATTGACCTAAACTATGATTTATTTTTCCAAAAGATACGTTGGTTGTCACTGAAACATTCCTTTCTGTTTCAGGTATGTTTTTAACAATCTTTTTTTACTATAGTAAATTCACTTAACCCAATTAAAATGATGTGAAATTACGAGCCATCCTGTAAGCTTACAGATACAAAAAAAAATGCTATAAGGCTGCTGATATGAAGCTTGCAGTGGACAAGGTTGTTGTAAATGCTCAATGGCATGTTCATGGATACGGCAATATCGCATCAATAATACGATAATTGCACATCAATAATACGGTAATTAATGTATATGGCAATATCATATCAATAAAGGAAAAACAAGTAAAAATCACAGAAAATGTCATTTATTCTACCTCTACATCATCTACAATGAAAGAGGAGGACTTTAGAGTACTGTTAGTAATGGATGAGTACGTTCTGCATGCTTCAAATGTTTTGAAATGAAGTTTTATTCCCATTGTCCCGAGTAGCCCCGACTGATGGGGCTACTCGGGACAATCTTTTATTTGCGTCTGGCACCTTACGAATAGCATATGGATTTTTTTTTACAATGCCATTCGATAGCCCTCGCAAAGAGCTATAAAATGAGCCTAAATTTGTTAATGAAATGTTTTATCGTAAGAAGTTATTAACAGTTATTAAAAAAAAAAACGATCAAATCTGTCCCGAGTAGCCCCGGTTGACAGGAGCCTAGCCTCTACCCTAGGCTGACTACCGCCTGACTAATTTATGAATAAAATTATTTCAATGTAATCTTACATTAATACTATTAATACCCAGGCCTTGCATCTTAATATTTACTCCATTAGTTATTAAAATGCAGCCTGCTCAGATGTAAAACTAGTAACAAGTAATAGCAGTACCTAGTAGCCTAGCCCCTAGTAAGCACTATAATCACCAGGGGCTAGTAGCAAGCACTAGCACTTGACTAAGCAAGAAGACTACAGCAGTACAAAGTAGATGCAAGTAAAAAATTTCATGTAACAATTTCTTTGTAACAGTAAAATCATCCTGGTCAGTAAATTATAATATGCATAAAACTTCTCAACTTGGAAATATGAACCAAAACACTAATAGGAACTTGGAAGGCACTGTCACATCACTAAGAGTCTCAGACTGAATCCCTGTTAGCACATGGTAGTACCGCATCACAGAACGCCATTGTGGCTGCCATTGAGTGGGCAATGGACTCATCTTATTTGCAACAACTTCCAGCATCACTGTGCAACTTTCAGCAGAGCTCTGAAATTTAGAGAGCATGCTCAAACTGTTAGCTTGTTTTCTCACCATCTTTCATTAACAACTAATACAATAACAAAGTTTTTTTTAGCACAAAGTGCCACCATTTGCCAATTGCAGCCAAGCAAGTCAACAACAATAATTTCTCAAAAAACGTGATGGCATTGTCATAATTTCAAGATTTTAGTGCATTTTCTCATTTATGGAAAACATGCACTCTTGTGCTTGCCATGTCCGTCTGTGACTTCATATTTTCGTCAATGAGAAAATGTGCGCTGTCACTCACTACAGTGAGTACTGAATTATATTTTTTATGCTCATTTTCAAACACAAGCTGCTCAAAGTAAGCTACCAGTTGGATGGGATCATGGGACTTTTTAAACTAAGTGCCTCCTGTGTGCTGAAGTAAATTTGCCAGTCTGCCATTTTTGTCCTTTCATTTGCCTGTCTGCCATTTTGGTCCATGCTTGATTTGTGCACATACCTATTAAAAGATGACAATATCTTGGGCTAAAAAGCACTACTTTACAGCCTGAGACTGGTGCATGAAATTCAAGATGCAAGATTGCTAAGCTGGCAACTGCCACTGGCAAGGAATATAGGTACTTATCTACCATTTGAGCAGGCTAGCAGCAACTAGAGCTTTCCTGCAATTTTAGGGGCAACAAGATTCCCACTGGAATGACTGGATGAGTTATCTCTTATCTAATTGCTAATAAAAAGTTTGTCACTTTGGAGCGTTGACTATAATCATGAGAAAAAAAATTCAATATAGTTCAAAACTCAATTCAATTCATAGCCATGAAATTTTAGTATTAATTAGGAAATTTTCAGTATTATTTCTAATGTTTCAAGATTAAAACTAGACTCACATCTTCACATGACCTTTCCATAACCTGCTTCTAGTAACCTTTGAATGTTAACTGAACTGAGAGTAGGCTAGTTGGCACAGCAGAACTAAACTTTGCCAGAACATGTAAAAGATGTGTATCAAACCTCAAATCCACTTGTATATATATTTGATCTAACAATTTATTTTTATGAATCTATTTTTCTCTGCTGGTTCCAAATGGAACGGCTTGGTATTACTGGGCTAACACGCAGCACAGACAAACACTTTATTTTCTCCTCATTTATTTGCAAATTCCACGACTTTCCATAACCTGAAATTAAATCTCATGACTTTCCAGGCCTGGAAAATGAAAAATCTAATTTTCCATAACTGGTATGCACCCTGTAGATACTACCGTACAGTTCATACTAGAGTCTACACTCTACTCACACCCCAGTAGGGTAAATGCGGTATATTCCGACATCGTGGGTAATTCCGACACTTCTCAACTTTTTTCCATTATATTAAGCTTTTTCTTAGTTCCATGCATTCGTTGATGGTTGAAATAGTGACGTCATACTTTAACGCGCCATACTATTGCCAAAACACTAGGTCTGGGCCATCTGACGGGAAAATGCTGAGATCCAATAAGAGACAGTGCATGTCACCCAGTGAGAACATCGAAAAATGTGTCAAAGTTGATAGTTGACCACTTGCTCTACCAAATAGTGATGAACTGTTTGTGTAGACAGAATATTATGGTTTGAGACTTTTAAATACGTCTGTGAATATATTAGGAATCCTTTAGGTATACCGGTACTTGTATTTGCTGATTTCAAGTGGTAAAAAAATTAATAGATGATTAAGTTAAGAGATGGTTTTAGACACATAAAAACTAATTCTGACACAGCTTGGAAATTGGAATTAGACACACACAGCTCATTCCAAGCTGTATGCAAAAATTGAAATTTTCTTAATTAAAAGCTTAATAGCTCTTAATTAAAAGCCTAATTAAGTAGTGTTCAATATTCAATAGTGTTCTAATTGCAAGCTGTCGTATTCCAATACAGCTCACAGTCACACAGCGATCGGAATTCGAACACAAGGTCACAAGAGTGTTGGCATTACAAATTAGTAGAGTTTGAAGCGCAGCCAGAATTAGTCTCACGAAATGCCAAATTTGGTCACACACAGTGTTGCAATATATGGATTTGGTAGGTTTGCATTCTAAAAGCTTTTAAATAAATATGGCAACATTTTGTGAGTTTTTGTGACATTTCATATTTTCATTGTTGCTGGCACGTAGGGCGGTGTTTTTAGAGTGACATAAAGCAAACAGAACTCGAGTTGTGCGTATGGTGTATTTTTCATAGCCATTCATATTTTGCTACGTCCTTAATGTGTCGGAATATACCTTGTTTACCCTAGGTACAGACCGCACATACAGTCACTACAGTGTACACAGTACTCACTAGTAGGCTACTCGATCAAGAGTCTAGACCAGGACTAGCCAACTAGGTAATTAAAGATGAAGTGAATATTAAAAATTCAGCTATATTCCAAATTCATTGTAATTTTTTATTGTAGCCTATATTAATCAACATTAAATATCAAAATCACCTGAGAAGACATTTTTTCAGAGTCACTTCAGTCAAACAACATAATAACAAATATTATTATACCTAGGTATATCTATGATGAGTTGTATGATCTAGGTATCAGAATTTCAGATCATTTAATTCAGATTACAGATTTTAGAGTAGGTACCCCACTACCCCGTACATAGGCTATCGCCGCTATCCACACTCAGGATGATGCATGTTTTCGGTGAATTTTCCTGCGCATTTTCCCTTTTTTAAGCCATTGCTGTGCACAGTTGGCGCAATGTAATGAAAATTGATTCTCTTCGCGCACGTGTTCGCGCAACCCTGGCCATCAATTCTATGTCGCGCTGCCGCGCACAAGCAGTTTGTGGAGGAACAGACGTAATACTCAGTACAGTATGCCTTTAATTATCTTTCAATAATATATGATTTTTCTTGATACGGAAATTTGGTGAATGAGAAATCTAGAACTTTATTTTAGAATAAATTTTCTCCAAAGTCATATGGCAACACTAAACACCGTCTGTTTACATTTCGTATGTATAATAGCCGCAGTTTACGATTACCGTACGTTCCGTATCCAACAAGCGGAAGAGTCAGAAGAAACCCGGACATGTCTTACATAATAAGTTACATTTATTATTGTCAGTTCGACTCTCGTAGTTGATATAAACTTTGATCTTTGATGACTAACAAAATATAACTTTTTAATAGGGAGACTTCATGTTTATTATACTACAAGTAATGATCTTTATTTAATTATAGCCGCATTGCCGCGCGTCCATATTTAAACTATTTTAGCTTTCTAAAGTACGGCGCACGGCGTTTTTTTTACCAGCATAGTACGGCGCACCACGCAGGTTGTTAAAATGACAAAATAAATTCCCGCGCACCTGGCACATCTTCCTGACCATGGTTAAGGCTATCAGTATCATGGCTATCATCAATCATGCTATGCATAAGACGATAAGAGCATCTTGTGAATGTCAGAATGGGGTGGGGTGAGTTCTTTTACCTAATTTTACCTAGGCCCTATTAGGCTAGGTATATACTAATATACGCACCTAAGTAATGCTTAAAGCAGCTTAATGATTTTTTTATTTCTTTTCAGCAGAAATCCGTCTGACGGTCTGAGCATGTTAGCAACTTTACATCAACATAACTCTCATTGTCATCACAATGTCATGACTCATAACAATGATAACATAGTCTCAACTCTCAACCTTGCTGAGTGCTGACCACGGTCAAACTTTTTTTGTTGTTAGCATCATATCACTCATGTTTTTAACCAAAAAACTTACCTAGGTATGTATCAAAACACAATAGTTCAATATGAACTAGCATAATCTAACAAATTTTCTATCGTCGTTTTTTCGTAGGAGCTACGACGGCAGTGTAGTGCTGTAGTTCGTCTCAGTCAGTGATTCACCGATTGTAAAGTTTTTTAAACCTGTAGCGGTAAGCGGTGGGGGCGCTGCGGAGTGCGGAGGAGCTAATGCCAGAGGGCGGAAACCATAGTCCGCGTTGGAGGTTTGCCAAATTCAAAGGGGTGAATTTTAAGCAATAAGTTTAGTATAGATATGTCGGGGTTAATTAGGCTGTTAGACTTGGCGCCGATTCTGAACATCGCAGAACATTCACAGCTTGTTGTGGGTGTCAAACTTGTAATTCACTGCTTCAATTTAGCGTTGCATGAGCGCCCTGCCACATATTGCGCGATTTGACCAGGCAGAACTGTTGCAGGTAGCTATTGTCGAACACCGTAGCTCACAGCTCCAACTCTAGTACTCTAAACTGCTACCATTGGGCTACCCTGGCTTATGGATTACTATTTTCCTGCGAATAGGTTGGTTTAATCGCAGGTGAACTTTACCTACCAAGTACGGTCGCCTTATTTACTGCCGGCATTCCACATAAGAACGTAGGAAGAAATTAACGAAAATTCCGTTACACCCTAATTTTGGTCAATTTCTTGGGCCTTGTTTCTCAATATCTCGAGTGTATTGTATAGGCTGCATTTGTGCTTCGTGTGTTAACTTTTCTCTCTATTAAATTCTTTGAAATATTAAAAAAATTAAAAAGTTAACCATGCAAGTCATCCTTCTTTATTATGATGGTCTGCTTAAAGAGCTGTTTTCCTCACCTCACTCACATTTTAGTGATAATCCAGTTTCATTTCTTTCAAAAGTTATTCTCTTTTATTTATACTAAGTGAATGGTTACAGCAATTAATGTTTGGTGGAAAATTTATATTCAAGTATATTACTATCTTCGCTTACATTTATTGTGTCCACTATCAAGACCATCCAAGCAGAACTCGATTAATTTGCGTGGACTCGATATTAATCAGTCGATTAAACCTGCGTAGGCAGGGTAACTTCCAATTGAATTATTATTAATTGTAATTTTATTGATCTGCATCATCAGAACGCACTCTTTACATGTAATTCATTGAGCGCTTTACAAAGCGTTACTTGTGGTAACTGTATTCGGGAGGAGTTACACAAATCCAACCAATCGACGTGGTTAAAAAATACAGTATATGAGCAAATTTTGCGGCATACTGCTGCATAATTATCGAAGTTAGGAGTTGTTATGCGATTAAAACTTGACCAATAGCTAAGCGCAGGCAAGGCGCCGGCAAATCACAGTGAATTTGTTTGTAAAGATTTGCCAGTAAATTCAAATTTCATCGTTCCACGCTATAAGACAATTCGAAGTCCCCGCCCCTTTTTTCAAATCAGAGCGGTTAAACGCACCGGGGATACAACCGTGTTACAATTACTGCGTGTCACAATGTGATTATGATGGCTATATGAAATGTCATCACATGTGAATGTGAATATGTGAATCACAAATCACAATGTGAATATGAAATAGGCCATGGGCCTATTTCTTCAATGCCGACACTTCTATTCTAATTAGATCGGGGTGGTGTGGTTAAGATTATCAAAATTGAAATGGTTAGTGGTTAAGATGATTGAAATTTAAGTGATTAGTGGTTAAGATCATTAAAATAGAAGTAGTGAGTTGGGGTTCGTAACCCGCATTTCATGAAAATTTTTAGTGACAAGGTGACATCGGTAACAGGCCATTATGGCCTTATCAAAGGAGAGACTATTGTGTTGGTTGTGTTAATTCAAGATCTGAAAAAGTTTTACATTTTAACGATAGATGGCTTCACAAGTGGACCTCAAAATGTCATCTGTTCCTTGATTTAGGCTTCACGCTGCTGTATACCATCATTCTTCCTGGACATGAGAACTTGAGAAGAACTCGAGTCTAGTGTGAAGTCGATCGAAGTGAGTACTTTTACTCTTTTTTAGAAGACCTTACACTCTACCACATTTTGAAATTTCAAATACATTATAACTATCTCATTTCAAATTCAATTATTTAAAATTAAAGTACATGAAAAACCTAAATGGCTCAAATCAAAGTATAATTGAAGTGCTTAATCCATTCTCTTCAAGTTTACCTCATCATTTCTGAACTAAAATTGCAATTACATGTCTCCATAAGATCACGATACGAGAAATCATGGACACGCATTAAATATTTCCCATTTCCCTTACAGGGGCTAGCTTCAGACAAACAAACATAAACCTGTTTATGAATATACCTGTATAACAAACTTTTGTATAAAAAAAAAAACAAATTATAAACAAGAATATACCTGTATAATAGGTGCCATGTTTCTTGAGTGCGAATTATCAAGTCTCAAAAAAACTTCAGGCTAAGCCAATGTTTGGCACCTGAATGTTCAATCTTTATCGTATTTAATTCAATTCTTCAATCACAATTAAAAATTGCTTCGTGCTCTATTTAATATCGAGTGATTTTTGATCGCTTGTCACAACTGTACTGAAAAATACAAATAATGCATATTCTAATAAACTTTTGCTACTATAGTACCATATAAATAGTCGGATTAAACAAAGTTTACAAGTGTCTTTAATTTTTCACGTCATAAATATTGCAGCACAAAATACTCAATGCTAATTACAAGTGCGTTACGTCAGATACTCGTACATTGATATTCAAAATTCTAATGATCATTGATTTCTGCGTCAATGCTCAATGCTTATTGCAAGCGCATTACATACCATATATTGATCTTCTATCAACTAATGATCAATGATAATTGCGATTGCATTACGTCAAATATATAGCTGCTAAAAATACACAAGGAATCTTACGGATGCATTACATAACATTTATTACTTTTCAAAATAACCTAAAGATTATTGCGAGTGTACCACGAAATATATTTTGGTACTCAAAATGCCCACCGATTATTGCAAGTGTATCATGTCATGTATTATAATGCTCAAAATGCACAATGATTACAGCGAATGTATTACATCATGTATATCACTGCTCGAAATACCGAATGATTATAGCGAGTGCATGTATGACATCATTTATATCAATGCTCAAAATACCGAATGATTATAACGAGTGCATGTATTACCTCGTTTATATCAATGCTCAATATAGCCATCGATTAGTGCGCGCGCATTACGTCATGTTTATTAATGTTCAAAATACCCAATGATTATTGGGAGCGCATGATGTGTGTAATCGACATGAGAGCGCTGGCCAATTGCACGGCGCTCCTCGCCCCCGGACCGGCAGGCGGGATTATCGCCGAGACCAACCAAGCAAACAAAATAATCCGTGGATCAGCAGTTAACCTGTATACGGATTTAACAAAGCTTATTGATTTTTTGTTAGGCTTTCGTTCAATACCTACGCAAGTAATGCCGATGGCAGCACTAGATGTATGCTATTCGTACGAGGAGTTTTAAATTTGAAGCCATTGCGACTGCATGAGAACGGGCGCCGTTCCAGTCTGAAGCACAAAGTCGCTTTGATGCTAACTTCAGCTGATCTCCAATTGCTGGGGTACAGCATCGTGTGAAAAGTGGCCGTAAGAATAACGTGCTGGGTTCCTACTTACAAGCGTCGTACAATAGTGGGCTGTGTTGAGCGAGCTCCACGCTAGAACACCCAAGCTTGAAGGGATCACCCGCATAGTTGGTCTGTCCTTAACTGCTGAGCCACAGATAACTGCTGACAGCAATGGCAGCATTTGACTTCAATCAACATAAAAGCTCTTCGTGCCCCAATTATAACCAAGAATGTTTCAAAATACTAATAAATATTTCTCAAGCGTGCATGATAGAATTGTCTGAGAAAAGACAAATCCATGAATTTTAAGGTTGCCAAAAAACTCAAATTTTAGACAAAGACTTGCACGAAATCTTAAAATCCAAAAACCTGCATAAAATCCGAAAATCTCAAAACTTGCACAAATTCTTAATTTCCAATTTCAAACACAAAACAAAAGAACAACGAAAAGTTCTGTCGGGATTTCGGGTTTAATTTTGCCTGTGAACAAAAGGCAGAGCTGGAGGCGAGGTGCAGGAGGGACCAGGCTTGCCCTTTAGCTGGTCACGTCACCAGTTGCCTCGAAGCAAATGACTAATCCATCGTGAAATTAGGCACGTTATCCCGTGGCTCACAACATATTAATCTGTGCAGTGATCCTATAGGATAATCAGGAGGGAGGAGACCCTGCGCCACCCCGACAGAGGGGAGAATTAGAACCTATGTTCTGAGCGTAAGTTCTTAATCTGAGCGAAAGTTCTGAATAACCAACAACGTATCAAAGGAGGCAGATTAACGGTCACAGCATTGCCACTAGTAATTCATTTAGTTACTGCAAACTGTATTAAATTAGGGCCTGTCTGTTTGCAAAACTTGGCGACACATGACACCAGTCGACTGCAAACACGTACGTCCCCGCTGGAGACGAACGAGGAATCAGGATAAAGATACTTCATAAGCTGAACATTATAACGGGTACACTAATACCTCATAAGCTGAACCTTATAACGGGTACACTAATACCTCATAAGCTGAACCTTATAAGATGTACACTAATACCTCATAAATTGATCATTCTAACGTTTACATTAATACCTCATATGCTGAACATTATAGTGTACACTAATACCTCATAGCTGAACATTATAACATGTACACTAAAGAAACACTTACGTTAGAACAGTGGTTCCCAAACTTTTTCAGGCTGGCGCCCCCTTTGGCTCCCTAGTGAATTTCTAGCGCCCCCCACAGACACATATAAAATAATGCGCCTCTTACTATAAAATTTAGTTCGCTGCAATTTTAAAATGTAAAGGTTGAACACAAATGTGTATTTCACAAATAGGACCCCTTTTAGTGAACCAATATGTTTTTCAGCTGTTTTAACCGTTTCAGCACTAGAAACCTAGGACGTCTCGGGCAAATTTACAGCCGGACTTGTGGCCGGTCTCACGACCAATCTCCAAATTCAGTTATCAAGGAATATCACTCAAACTAATGAACGCAGCTCAATAAAACTTGGAACATTTATTCATCAGAACTTAACGGTGACGTTTAGCTGGTGAAAATTTTTTAAATTTC